TTTTTCTTTCAATCCTCGGGACCACACCATGGGTTGAACAGGCTAAAGGACAGAAAACAGTGCAAGAAGTGAATCGGTACTGGATTTAGTAAGAAAATTAAGGCTACTTTTGCTCCAAGTGATCCAGACATTAAACTTATTTATTACAGCCCATTTTATATGCCTACTTTGTCAGATTTGGATTGCTAGGGAAATAACTACCCATTTTTTTAGTTCATCTCAGAGCAGCAGGTCAGTGACAGGTTTCAGTAAGATCAGTTCAAGAGGGAAGGGCTATCGGACAGCTCACAGAAGTCTGCCAGTCTCCCTTAAAAACAACGTTACTTTTTCCTGGAGACATTTCTGAGAAAAGAAATGTGATTTCACTTACACTAGATGCCCTACAAGTATTCCAGGGTTCTTTACAGGTTCCCTGTTCTTTATAGTGGTAGTAAAACATTCAGAAAAAGCATTAGGCAGCCACCTACTGTTACAACACGGTGCCCATATACAAAGCATAGCCATGGGAAGGTGAATAATCACCACCAATGCCTTCCAAACTTCCAAGCAACAGCATAATCCCTGACAAGCAATTGCAGCAGGACTTTCAAGGTAACATGAAAACTGCGGAACTGAAGGATGGGTCCAGTGGTTGATTTCACTGTTGCAATACCATATTTATGCAGTAAAATACTATATTGTGTTAAGCACCCTGTGCACACCTGGGGTTCAAAAGGCAAGGCAAGCATGCGGTGGCAGCAGTAACCGTAGCAGCGTTTTGCGAGCCCCTTTCCTACCCGCTGAGCTGGAGCTGCTGCTGGGTTCCTGCCGAGCCCCGCTCCTCACAGCACCTCCTCTGCTAACCCATTCCACCTGGCAGAACTGCACTCCTCTCCTTCAAGAGGGGCTCAGCACAAGGAGACCGAGGTGAAGGAGGACCGATTCCCTTTTGAATTTAAGCGTCTTGATATGGAGGAGGCAGAGGCATCCCTGTTTGCTGCAGACACGCAGCTGAACACTGCAGCCAACCAGAGCAGGGGCATTCCCAGCTGAATTCACTGGCTCACATCACACAGCAAGTCTCGGCCAAAGCACAGAGATGTGTTTCCTGCACAATTATTAAATCCTGCACAGTCATTCTGCAAATCAGGCTTCTGACTTCCGCTCCCTTGCCAGAGCTTGGAGAGTCACTCATTTTGTAATAATAATAAAGATACGTTTGCAGCGGCACTGCTATCAACCGTCTCCAAGCTCTGAACTTCAACATGACAGATCACAGTATCTAGCTGTTCTATAAAGTGAGTCGCACCTTTATGCCTGTTGTTTTTTCTTTTTAGTATTCGTAAACTGTTTTCTTCCACTGTCTCTTCTGTGGTCTGTAAGAAAATCAAAACAACGTATTTTTACATCATACTGACATTTACTGCTTTGCGTACCTCTATATTAGCAGAAAGATAAAAACCAGCTCATATTTCTGTGAATACAGTCAGCTTCTCTGCACAGCTCATGATATTCCTCTCCAGACATTCCGTTTTTAAAAAGGGAAGCAAAAATTGCTTCAAAGCAAAAACTCTTTAAGAAAAGCACACCACCTGGGACACCACCCTCCTTAATTACTGCATTTGCAAATAGCACAGGTGTTAACAAATGCTTACTGCTAACTCCCAGTGCAAATGATGTTTAGTTCCCTAGACCTGATGTAATACTAGAAAGGATCTGAGAGGAGAGGGGGAATATTTTTCTTTTCCTTTGGACAGGACACAGTCGTCCTCTGCTGTTCCACGTCATACGACAATTCATTCTTAAGCTCTGTCACAGAGCTCCACCAGTGTAAAAATGCATTGCTTACACGATGGTAAACAATTTATCCTGCAGTGATAAATCCTGGAGCACCTCAGCTTCTTATTTGCAGAGCTTCTATTGATTTCCGAGATCGCTAGCACTGGAGAGCAGCAGAAACAGGGCATTACCGTGGGCAACAGGTCAAACGAATCTCAGTTATAATACCAGGAGCGTAAGTGGATTTACAGCTGAGAAGTTCTTGGAGACGCATAACCTACCCTTACAAAAGTACTACATAAAAGCTGCAAAGATCATCCACGTCCCCTCACATGACCTCCCTTCAGTCTCAAGACCTGGGAAAGGCAGGAGTTTTTCCCAAGAAAAGCTGGATGCCAATTCATCTGGAAAGGAGAACTCCCGACTCCCCCAAGAGTCAATGGGAGTTCCCATGCATACTTCTGTGGAGCCAAGAGAATCACCTCAAAACTTAAAATAAGCTGTATTTACCAGTTTTCTAACAACAGCCTCTAAAACAACTCCCCCTGCAACTAGAGGGATGCTCTGCTTGGCAGCTCCTGGGAAGGCCATCTTCACCGGCAGAGCTGAGAACGGCCTGATCTGCGCTGGAAATCTGCCCCACTGACTGTGAGCGCAGGCTCACAAACGAGTGTCACTTTAAAAGGCCAAGTGACTCATCAAAAGCAGTTTTTCATGGAAACTCTGTCAAACCCTAAGCAAATCTGAGGGACGTAGTACTTCCAAAGAAAAGGAGCCCCCAAAGGGACGCTCCTTCTGGTCATGTCAAGACCACAGCCACCGAGTCAGCCTGGTTCAGGAGTTCCTGTCGGCTTTGTTCCACATTACCCAAGGGCAGCATTGGCTCTGCCTGAAGCAGCTCCAAATGCAAACAGTTTTGTTTTGACAGAATGACAAGATCAAAACAAGGCAGCTGTAAAGGAAAAGCTATTGCTTCTGTGAGGAAGTCTCTTTCTGAACACACTGCCAAAACACTTCACTAAAGAAGTCCTTTGCGGTAGCGGACGTGGGTTCCTATTTTAGAACTACTTAAATTCAGAATTACCATTTGTTCCGTGATGGTGGAAGATTTCAGTGCATGTCTTCTCCTCTTATTAGCTGCACCTAGGCATCAAGAAAGGACAAAGTAACAAATACGTCAACCTCAGACTGACAATTTCACATCATTCAAATTCTCTCTTTTCCCAAAGTGCTACAAAAGTGAGGCACTGTGGGCGGCAAGGCAAGAGCATGTTTTGACTTCCCCAAATACCTGACATTTCAGTGGAATTTACATTATTTCCATGTCAGAAAAATTACAAGCCTGAACCATTAGGAAGAAGTGCAAATCACTGTAACATCAGGATATGACTTTGCATTTTAAACTCAGTATAAAGCAAATCCCAGTTTGCTTTATAAGATTTTTGACTGTGGCCAAGTGAACTTATTCTCCCCAGCAGTAGCACTACCTCTAGGTGGTAAAAACTTCATGCAAATTTATGAAAGCTGACTGGTGTTCTTCAGTCAGTTCTTGCTTATGTTAATACACCCTCAAAATTAAAGACTACGTGAAGAATCATTTGAGGTGTCCCAAAGACCTACAAATGGCATTAGTTTTTTCATCAATATAATGACCCTCCTAGAAAGCCTCCAGAAGCAATTTGACTTGTAAGTTTAATATTATTTACGCTACAAAGTGGTTTTAGTGATGTGGTATGAGATCTCTGCAAAATCATCTGCTTTCACTCTGTCCTTCCTATCAGCATTCACCAGCCTCTCGCCAACATCATAACTGGCAGCTGCTGAAACAGCTACAGCATCACAAGCAGAGAAGGTAACTGTGGCAAGGAAGACATGGCAGGAGCAGAGAAAGCTAGAGAGGAGTTCAACCCCCCACCAAAACCTGAGGGTTTTAAATGCAGTGGGGTTATATGCCCCCTTCCTGTTTAACTCTACATCCTTTGGGCAGCACTTACTAAGGTTTTTTCCTGTTAGAAATCATCCTGTTACGAGGAATGAGGAGTTACTGTTGGTACAGGAAGGCTGTTAAAAAAAAAGTCGGGGTTTCGGGTACTGGCGCTGTACGTTTGCATTTTTCATGGCCTGAAGGGAAATCATAGCCTCCCACTTCATCCAAAGTGAAGCTGTGTGGCCAAATTTGGAGCAGTCCAGGAGACGCTGGTGTAGGCACAAAGTGTTCCTTGCTGTCTAGCAAGACATCTTTGACCTGTGGTGGGATTTTCTCAGCTCTTCCTGATGTCTGCTTTAGGGATACCTTATAAAACAAGAGGAACATAGTCCAAAGAGCAGCCCAGCTCTTCCTGTTGCCCACAGTGTTCACCGCTCTTCTACGTTTGTCAGCCTTTACCCTCGGAACATCCCACACTTCCAGTGAAGCAGAGGTTGGAGCCTGTTTCCAAGTCCAAACTTCCCTCCCATCTCTGCTGCACAGAGCTGCAAGGAGACTTCTTGGACCCTAAATGCACCCTATCCTCTTCCAATCACACGGCAGAGCACAGGAATGTTGTCTGGACCAACAACAAGGGGATGTTCCTCGACTCCATTTTCTCCAAGTTACCAGGGAAAACAAGCCTGTAGACAGAGCCCTTTTGTACCAGCTCCTGCTCCCACAGAGCCCAGCGCTGGCTCAGCCTGTCCCAGAGGATCTGCTGTGCTACTTCACCCGAGCTGGATCCTGAAAGTCAAAACTCTACTCTAGAGCCACAGCGTTTCCACTCCAGCCCATCTCACTCCTCACCCTGTGCGGACCTGCAAACACACTCAGTACAAGTGTCCTCCACCTGCCCAGATGGGCCAGACAGAGTGCCTGTTACTTCAGCCAACTCACCAGCAGATCCCTCTGGCTATTCTGAGCACTATGCGTGCATCTGAGAGCTGCTCAGAGGCAGGAGAGATGGGCTTGGGGAACCAAGTGTCATTTACCCAACTTCGACATCCTGGGGTACCACTACTCTCTCAGACAGAGGCGAGAGAAGCTCATTCAGGAGGAAGGGCAGACGCTGCCAGCAGAATCCATTTACCCAATGGATCTCCAAACTAAGCGCCTCTGGAAGATCTGCTCCAGGAGAAAACTCTTTTCTCAGGGAACAGGCCATACGTTGCATATGCAGCACTTGAAGACACTAAGAACTTCAACTTCTTCAGATTTAAGCCTTCTTTATGAAGGAGGTAGTCCACAGGGCTGGACCTAATGCCTTAATCTCATCTCATACTGGAAACGAAGCAATCCTTCTAGTACCTGGGTAGGAGACTACCTGGGACCCTGGACAGACCCAACAGACTGACACCCATTAGACCACAGAAATCAAATTGATTTTTAAAAGGGGGGGAATGTCAGGTCTCAGAACTACAGATAAGTAAAAAGCAAAAGTACTAAGTGAAGTAAGAAGCTGCATTTGGTTAGAGAACCACAGCAGTATCAGGTGTTAAACAGACTGTATGTCTGGCTAAGAAGCCCCAGACCCTACGACTAAAAGTTTAAATGATAAATCACCTAACCCACCCCTCAAGTGGCATCAGGGTGGAGCCAGACTTTGTCAAGGTTAGCCAAAGTTTGCTAGACTTCAGTGCGAGCACACCGCTCTTAGCGTTAGTGCTCACAGTTTGATTGAGCTTAACTTCAAAGCGAAGGCCAGTCTAGGACCCGCTCCGTTTTGAGCAGGATTGCATGCATTAAGTTAACAAAGTCACAGCTTTGGTTGGTTAATTCAGTGAGATTCCTGACGACCTCTGAATCAGCAAGGACCAGGACTGCCAAATTAAGCTGCATTTCTGTAGCAAAGGAAGCAATCCTTAAACAGGGGTTGTATAACCCTTTTGTTACACTTAAAAAGCTCTTTGGGATCCTTCAGAATGAAAGGCCCTATTTAAAAAACTACTGCAGTGAATACAGAAGATGCAAATGTGAACGTTTAAATGTAACTACAGATAAAAATCCCAAGGTGACCACTCCCGTAACACCCCTCTAACAACCCCCAGTCAAGTGCAAGCTTGTGCATCACTCATTAGGCGTGGCTCTCACATCTCACATGGATTTTACAAGCTCCTTGGGCCCACCTGCACCCACAGAGTCAGAATAATTCCATGAAGGATCAGGTCCATAGTGTTTTAAGTCAGTTCTGAGGGAGATTTGAGGCAGATCAAATATAAACATATCCTACTTCAAAAAACCTTCTTGATTTTTGTGCATATGCATGGATCTCAACCAAAACACTCCTGCAAGATTAGAAATCCACCGCTCAATACAAAGGTGGAGTAACATTTATTTTGTTCGAATGAGTTATTGACTGTAGGATGCAAACTTTTAAAACAAATGAAATCAATGAAGCCATTAAAGAAACTCACCATAGTGATTGGTCCTATTGCCTGGGTCATGTTTTGGGCAGAACACTCTAAAATTTAAGTTCAATTTTAAGAAAAAGAGAAAAAGTATTAATAAATACGTAAACAGAATTATGCTGACTGATTTTAACAGATATTTTCCCCTCTTTTCATTGAACGTAAACTGAAAGACACTTAAAAAATTATCAGGATTTTTGTTCAGCATTACCCACCTAGGAAAGCACCTGCTGTAAAGTCACATACATGCACAAGCTTGTATTTGTACTTTGAGAGCCTCCGTGGACTCTGAACACTGAAGCTTTGAATTATCAGTTCCATTACCCCACTCTGTTTGGACTTGCTTACTGTTCAGCTCCTGAGTCAGACACATTTGATCTGGTGTGGCGATCACTGTGGCAGAGGTACTTTTATTGAAACACCTTATTAAAATGAGATTCATGCTGTCAAGATGGCACAGCACAGCACTATTATTCCTTGATCGTAGCTACTGCAGTTCTGCCCCCTTGCTCTGTACCACTCAGCCCAGGTCCAGAACCTCTTTAGACGCATCTGCTTACCAGTCAACTTGACCTTATAAGCCCTGCACGATGCGCTGGCACAGCCACACGGCCCTGCACCGCCACGCACAGTACCAGTTGCTTGCTTGGAGATCTCTGTGCCCCTCCCTTTCTGCTGCCCAGTGCTGATGAGGTGGTCCCCAACTCTTGAGGAAGTAGGGTACCCTGTTTGAGATCCAGGAGCTTAAAGCTGCTCAATCCATTCGTTCCTTAAAGACTTTAGTAATATGTGAGATGGGAGTATTTTCTCTGGTTCTAGGAGAGCGATGCGAATTCCTTGGAAGAGGCAAAATGCAACAGATACAGCTAGAAATACTCCTTATCTTCCAGATACAATAATGTGTAGAGAACGTGAACCAGCTTCTACAATATGCCTTTCTTACAGAAGGATCCCAAATCACTTTTTAAGCAAAATTGCCTTGTCAAGAGTGTGGTTTAGCTGATCTCTTCATTACAGATCTATTTGCCAAGACTAACGCTCGAGTGTTTGGAAGCAATTTGTAAAGGGAACTGCATTTACTAGGACATTTCCTAATTATTGTCATTCTTTTAACAAAATAGAAGCACTGACCTTAGAAACGCAGTCTGTTTCCTTGACGAGCCAGCTTTTTTGCATGAAATTCATTTTGATGCACAAAAAACCAGATTTATGCACACCTAACAATGCAATCAGAAAGCTAAAAGTACTGGAGGCACCTTATTTACAACGCTGAATTTCTAATATTGCCCTTTGGAGGTTAGTTTTTTCCTCCCTCCCTTTAATTCTATTATTTCCCAGTTAAAAACCACCTTCCTAAGTACAACAACATCTTATAAAGAACGGACAATACCTTTTACTACTCAGGCCACCTTATTTGGAAGCACTTCTCTGCTATCATTTTTGCAAGACAGCAGTACAAATTATGCTTATTTCCCACCTCTACTCTTACTAGCCACTTCCATAGCACTGTATGCCTTCTCTTTTTTGTTCTGCTCTATTTGTTTTGATAATCACTGCTCATCATCACAACAATGGCAACTCAGAATTTAAAAACACCACCTCTCTCTCTTGAAGGAATTCTCTCTTTTGATATGCTTTTCAGTATGTAATATTTCACCACGAAAAAGCGCAGGGGGCTGTCAATCCACGTCCACTGTTTTTCAAGTCTTGTGCATATTCTCTCCAATAATTTCAGGCTAGCTACAGATTTTGTGCTTTACTTATGCCACTGATACTGTGCAAAAGTCTTTGGGTTCAAATCCCTGAAACCTGCCTCACCGTCTTTCTCTAATCCAGTCCTTTTTCATCTCTTCAATACAGGTTGCTACAGCATAGTTTGCTATATTTCTATATAGGACAAGCAACTAGTCTCACACAGTGACTTAATACAAGGCATTTTTAAGGGCCCCTCTTCCAAACCTCCAAGGTCACCAGCTCAGAAAACCACCAAATTAAACTATGTATTCAATCACGTCTTTACCAGTTTCTATCTAGACTGTTATCAGTCCCATTCATTTTTCAACATCTTGAGACGTTCAGTCTTCTTCAGCCTGAGGTAACCTTTCTAAAGCTATATGACAAGAGCCATTTATTCTGTGATCACAGAAAGTTCCCATCTTCCCAGCTACACAAAGGTTTGCAGACTCCTAAAGACTTTATAAGCATAAACTAAACATATAATCTTCACTATACAGCTGGGCTTACAGCCTTGCAGGAAGACATACTTATTTCGGACTGAGAGCTCTAGGGAAGCAGCCAGGAGTGCAAGTGTTCTGACACAAAAGGACCCATCCTCCATTGCTACTACAGATTGCACTAGTCCACCTCTCCCTCAAGCTGTGATTAGATGGTCTATCAGATTAATCTAAGACTAACATGGCCTGTGATCTCTCTTGGCCTTGCACAGAAATGAACATCAGGGGGATTACGCACCTCAGGCTTCAGCACTTCAAAAGGTCCCCTAAAGTCCCAATTTCTCAACCTCTTCATCTGCATCATCCAAACAACTCATTCCGTCTACTAACAGCAATGCAGGCAGCCCAAGGGCAGTGGACACCAGGACTAGCATGATCATGACAGACAATTCACTTGAAGTCTGTTTAATTGTGTTAATGTGAGCAATATACTTGAAATATAAGAAGGTCTTTGGTGGGAATACAAACTTCTCTGCTAGCATATGGAGGGAAAATTACCAGAATTTGCCTAATGTGAACAGACACAGAGGCGCAATTCGTCTGCTCTGTGCTCAGGCCACATTTACTGAAGCTTCTGAACCAACAAAAAATGAGAATTTGAGTGATATTAATAAAAATCTTTGTCCTTGAAGACTAGCTAGATAGCCAGTAAGGACTGCCTTCCTCAGTTTTGGCCTAGTGAGCTTTCAAGTGTGTTGCAGGCTCAAACCCTGAATAGCCTCCTTCCCACTGCTGTCATGTTTTCCTGTGAAAGGAAAACATTTCCCCCATTGCTTGTGAACAGAGGATCAAGCATCACTTTAAGAGAGGAGAATGTAGTTCCTTTTTAAAAACCCTTAAAAACCACACAATTTTTAAGTCTCTCTTCCTGACACCACCACCAACACCTTGACAGTAATTAGTTAGAAAATACTTGGTTAAATACCGGTAGACTCCATTTACTTCATCCGTTTCTATTGCTGCATCATCACAGAGCGCACAGAAATAGTGATAACTTCTGCGACAGGCTCTTTCCTCACATCCCACAGTGGCTCCTTTCTTTCGACAGAAGTTGCACATCTAGAACAGGATGAGGTTTTGCAGGTAAGCGTTACAGACAGTTACTGAAAATCTTGCCAGACAAGGCAAATACTATCCTCTGTGGGAAAATAAAATCTTTTGTTGCAAGTCGCCTCTGTATAACTCATCAGGCAATTTCACTCTTGCAAACTCCTACCCTGGTCATTATTTCAGCCACCTTTTTGCTATCTTATCTCTATTTCATAGCCATGAATTTGTACAATGATGCAAAGAGCCATGTGAGGGCACTGGGCAACCTCCCCCTCTCCCCTAAATCTTGCCCAAGTTACTTCAATACCTATTGGTATCAGTGCTTGTATTTTCTAGGTTAACTTCATAATGAAAAGAGTTCCACCCAGGATGTAAGGGAGAATGGCAGCTGAAGACAAAGCCAGTAAGAAAGCCTCATATAAATAACCTTCCTTCTGCTGAAACCAGGTGGTGTTTCCCTTTACACTTATGGACTGCATAATTTTGTTTCAGGCATTGGCTTAGTCCTTTACCAAAGTCTCTTAGGAATCTTAGACTAAGGACTTAAAGGCCAGGAAAAACAACACATTTTAATACAAAATGAACTAAATTTGACCAAATATAATGTCAAATCAATGTTTCTAACTCTAAATCTGTAATTTCCCTAATCTTAGTAGATCAGAAGATCTAAGTGCTTTTCTGCATTTTTTTTTTCAAGCATAAAACAGGTCAGACAACCGTCAGTACTATGAGATAGGACTAAGTGCAGATTCAGAAAGAAACTCCTTACCAGCCGCTTTCCTCTCTTGAGTTCTTTCAACACTGATGCCACATCAAACGATCAGAAGGACTAAGTGCTTTTCTGCATTTTTTTTTCAAGCACAAAACAGGTCAGACAACCGTCAGTACTATGAGATAGGACTAAGTGCAGATTCAGAAAGAAACTCCTTACCAGCCGCTTTCCTCTCTTGAGTTCTTTCAACACTGATGCCACATCAAACCTTATATCCAGATTATCTGGGTTATACTCTTCAGATTCCACAAATCCTGAGGAAAATAACTAAAGACAAAAGAGGCGATATTAAGAATTAATAGAGGGACTCAGTTACCAGTGCAGAAAAGAGAGGAAGGGTACATCTTTTCTTGCACTTGCCCTACCTAAGAAGGCCGTTTTTTCTCTATGTTTTTAAGAGGTTTCACCTATATTGAACAAGGATCTGTGCTTAAACCTTTTCCCAGTCAAAAGAAGTTCCTCTGTCTATACAGGAGATTTCGCAAGACCTGAAGGTGAACTAAGAAAAGATAACAAGGTGAGAAAGTGAACTTAGTAAGAAGTGTGAATGAAGAAAATCTGGAGGTCCAGGCTGCCCAGAGCAAGGAGGAGAAGCTCTTCAGCTGACAGACCTTCACACCCTGAACATCTTGTTAACTGCCCAGTTGTTCAGCCTTACAGCTAGATGCAACATTTCTCTGTAATAAGATTTCCATAAAGTCCAATGCTGACAAGAGTTGACTGGATGAGAAACATGGGAATATTGTACAAAGACTGGGAGAAACCCACCAAAAAATGTATACATGCACATTTGGGCCGCGTTAATGCCCACAGAAGTGCTAAGCCACAACAAAACGCGAGGAAGGGGAAGTTCTTAGCAACTTTTTTCTAATCATTATATATAGCTAATTCCAAACAAAAGTGAACTACCCTTACATCAACTGGCAGGCACAGTCTGTCTGCTCAGAAGGTCATAGCTAACTGCAAAAATCCCAAACAGCGCAGAGAAGCCTAAGGCAGAGAAATTAGTAGAGTTGTTGGGAGGGGGGCGGGGCGAAGGAAGACAGAGAGAGAGGAAAAAAGTTTCAACATTGGAGCAACATTATAGCCCTAACAAAAACTGTTTCAAACAAAACATCCAAGTAACACTGTAAAATAGGTATCTGATGTTTCTGAAACATTCTGCTAAAAAAAAAA